CTTCTACCCTTCCTCCTTCTACCCTTCCTCCTTCTACCCTTCCTCCTTCTACCCTTCCTCCTTCTACCCTTCCTCCTTCTACCCTTCCTCCTTCTCAAAACCCTCAGCCTCGACTCTTCCACCGTTTCTCTTCTTCTCCAGAGACTGCCAGGTTTTACTTGTAAGAGCACTATAATGCGAGTGCAGAGTCGTCATGAATGAAGAAACTTTGACCGGCTTGATCGATCAACCAATGATGACGGACTTCTTCGGTAATGTTGAACGCATGTCAAGCCAAAGAGTGTGGGGTGAAAGCATGGAAAGGAGGGCAGAGGAAAGACAAATGTTGATGTCAAGTGTGTGCCATTTCTCATGTTGTCCCACTTGTTTGAATGCCACGTCATAATTTGATCTTGAGCGACGTACGAGATGACTTTTCATGAGTTTTAAAAGGTTTCATCCGATCGGAAGAGTAAGATCTTGGCAGATTTGGGTCCCATTCAGGCGTTTGTACTTGCGAGCTCTTTTCATGAAGTGATGCGGATCGTGTTTGCGTTGACTGCCGTGATCAATCTTGTGTGACGGCTTGACAAGAAAACTTTACCATAGGTGAATCTCGAATGACAAAAGAACGATGCCGGCTCAATGAGCTGTGATCCACAAACGAGAAGTGGATAGAAGTGGATGATGCCGGCTGAGTGAGGACGCATATGAGATGGCGTTCATTGAATTTTCAAAGGATCAAACGGTGTATCAATGGAGGACCTTAATTGATGAGGGTTGCATGACGGCGTTTGCACTTGTGAGGCTATTTGAGTGCCACAATCATTGTCTTGTGAGAAATTTGTGATGCTGACTGAATGACAAGTGGATTTGAATGACAAGTAGGCCTTGAATGTCAAATGGATGTTGAATGATAAGAGGTTGATGGTGACGAAATGAGAAGTGGATGACGATTGCGGGATGAGAAGTGGATGACGATTGCGGGATGAGAAGTGGATGACGATTGCGGGATTGAGAAGTGAACGTTGGTGGTAGAGATAATATGGAATGAGACGTAGGTAACGCTGGCTGGATATGAAGTGATTCTCAAATGAGAAGTAGATCTTTTCTTTGGATTTTTTTTGTGATTTTTCTTTTGATTTTATTTTTGATCTTTTCTTTTCTTTTATCTTTATTCTTTTGATCTTCTTTTTTTATCTTTTTTTTTTATCTTCTTTTTTATGCAGTTAAAGTGTTGCTTCAGGATGTGTGAGAGGAGGAGTGAGAGGAGTAGTGCGAGGAGGAGTGTGAGGAAGAGTGAGAATAGCAAAGAACGAGTTCTTTGATCCCAAGAAAGGGTAGCGTAAGGATGAGAAAGCAAGTGTCGTGTAAGATGTTGCTTGCAAGAGTGATCAAGTCGCCATTTTGATTGGTGATCAAGTAATGCCTTCTTTACCGTGAAAATTGTTTGTGAATTGAATTTTGGAACCGTTGAGTAATGGCGATGGCAAGTGCACCATTCCGGCTGACGATGTATCGAATGTTAGGTAAATGCGTTCGAACTTTGATCTTGTGTGCATCGGCAAAGGGAAAAGCGATGTACTCGATTGCTCTCCTTGGATCTTCCAAAGACTTTCTCGAATCGTCCGAGGAAACATTTGTTTGATTTGGGCCCCATTCAGGCGTTTGTACTTGTGAGTGAGCTCTTTTCCATATTCGTGTTGCTTGCCGCGATCAATGGTGTGTGACGACTTGAAAAGAGAAGTGTGTGATACTGATTGTACGATCGGTGGATCTCGAATGAGAAGAGAATGAATCCATAAACGAGAAGTGGATGATGCCGGTTGAGCGAGGACACAGATGAGATGGCGTTTATTGAATTTCCAAAAGATTCACCGTTGCATCAATAGAAGACCTTGGTTGGTTAGGGTTGCATGCCGCCATTCGCACTTCTGAGGCTTTCCTTGTGAAGTGAAGTGATGCCGTGTTTGTTTGCATTTGAGTGCCATAATCATTGTTTTGTGAGAAATTTGTGATGCTGATTGGATGGCAAGTGGATCTTGAATGAGAAGTGGGTTTGGAATGACAAGGGGGTCTGGAATGAGAAGTGGTTTTGGAATGAGAAGTGGGTCTTGAAAGACAAGTGGAAGATGGTTGGAATGGGATGTGGGTGTTGGGGGTTGGAATCAATCCAAAAGGGGGACTTTATATACCTTTCATCCTCGCATTTCACAGTTTCAAAATTCGTATGATTTCCTCTAGACGGTCAAGTATGTCAAAATCGAATTCTGACAGGTCAACTGACAATAAATCACATGCATGTTATATGACCAAAACGACCATCCATTCGCTAGCATGATCTAAAGTTCTAGACTATCCTTGAACTATCCGATGGAATTAAGATATCCCGTTTTTTCGGCTTCCTGGCAATTGATTTGATATATTGCATCGCTGATGCTCTATGTTTGACCATCTTGAGTTCTCATCAACCATCCGATGGATCTGAAATAACGCGTTTTTCTGGCTTTCAGCCAAATATTTCTTTGTCGGATCATTTGCAGCAGCTGTTTATAACTTTTACAAACCATCTGATGGATCTGAGATATTCCGCTTATTTGGCTTTCAAACGAACACTGTTTTTACAACTCATCTGCAGCTATAATCTGTGATTCTTGCTAGCCATCCGATGGAACTGTCATTCCCGCTTTTTTGGCTTTCAAATAAGTAGGTTCTTGAAAAATAATCTGCAGCTACTATTTATGACTTTTACTAACCATCCAATGGATCTGAGATATTTCGCTTTTCCGGCTTCTCGGAAAGTTCTTTCCTTACAGCTTTGATGTATTTGATGCATTCTGTTCCCTTGTCAGTCCATTGAGACCTCTGCGGCACCGTTTCGCTCTGCAGGTATGAGTGAAGGCGTTAAACCTTTGGATGGTGAGGTAAAATCCACTAAGAGCTTTCCCAATTTTTGGTGGCTGCACCTATCATTATTGACATGTCCAGCCAAATGACTTATCGATACAAGTGCAACGGGAGCAGCAGGTACGATCTGACATGCTTTTCAATTCAAGCTATTTAATTCAAGTCTTTTCTCACCGTCATGGAGAAATTCATGGTCATCCAAAAGGACAAGTAATCAAGTTGGCCGACAATGGATGAATGCTATGCACGCACGCCTACGTATACGCCGTATTAGCGTGACTTTATGCAAGAAGAAAGTCACTAACAAGACTGAGTTTTATGCTTGACTCTTTCCTTCATCATTGGACTCACGCAGGAGTGCAAAAGTGATGGACATGAGCATGTCCATCCATTGATCAAAATGTAAATGCATCGGTGGGTCCCTTGATTAGGAAAATGTCAATACTTGCGGGCAAAACAACTATACCGATTCTTAAATCAGTTCTCGGCGGAAATAATTCACCATCCAAAGCTCCAACTCATTCACCACCACCTGCAAAGCACATGTGATCTGTATGCGAGTTCCAAACAAACCGTAAGCGCGCTCGGCAAGTGTAGACATATTCCATTCAGCTGTCAAAGAGACAAATTATTCGCCAGCTGAGCTATCTCGAGATGGACTTGATTCATAAATAAAATTATCAAATTGGACAATACAATTATACCTCAACCTCATTGGGTGCGTCATACCTCAATACAAGGCCACACCAATGGACTATCCTAGTCGGAATGTGCTTGGCGGCAAGTATGGATCTATTCCATTCAGCCGTCGACGACACAACACATCACTGTACCAACTCATTAGATCTTTCGTATTACCTTGTTGTTCTATGTATTAATGAAATTCAATCGGCAAAAGGTACGGTCAGATCTGATTGGCTAGAAAGGCTTGATCAATTGCCACCCGATGAGCTTAGCTTTGCACTTCCATCGACCAACGCCAAGAGTCAAGCAGCGTGATGATAACCGAAGACGATGAGATGATGGTCTTAGCAATGATGCTACAGCAAATGGACATATTTGACTCAAGTCCTAAAATGATTAAAGTTACCAGTAAAGACTATGATGTAGCTGCTCGTGTAGCTGAAGTCCTCCAAGCACATTTCAATTATGTGCAACATGGTTTGGTGGAAACTACCTACACTTTCACTTATTTGTATGAATCTCAACGAGAACGATCAACTATCAACTCTAGGATGCCAGCTCTCACAAAATTATCACACGCACTTTTAAGACGATTGATCGATTTTTTTGGTACCAAGATCGAGGCCCATGCCAACAATCTTCGTGAACAACAGGAAATTAGGAAAGGCGAGGCAAAGGATCTCATTATGAAACTGCAAGAAATATATCCTGATCTAGATGTGAATGCTGCGACGATTGAATCTGTTGCAGAGGAGGAGGATGACACTTCCCCTGCTACACCATTACGTCAGGACAGCACAATCGATGATAGTGGAATTGCAGAAATTGCTCAAAGTGTACCGTCAAAGACGATGAATGGGAGCACATCAGCAACAGAGGACAATATTGGAGCAGAACCGGCTTCGGCGACTGTAGCAGATTCTTCTCATGCGGCGACAAAGAGGACAAGGCAAGGTTTTTTTGGCATCTTCGGCAACTTTTTTGGTATTTTGTCTCGTCGTAGTCAAAGTGAGCAATCAAACGTGTCAATTCGTGAACATGTTGAAGAGCAGGCAGAAAGTGACAAAATTTCAATGAGAGAGGCATACAGAAATGGTAATCCGAGCTCTATTACTAGGAAAAGAACCGTCTCAGAGGAAGTGTTCATTGCAGAGCGGGCGGCTTTACAAGCCAAAGTGGAGTTACAAGAGGCAACGCTTTCCGCTCAAAGTGACACAATCTCACAGCTTAGTGACGCAATCTCACAGCTTAGTGACACAATCTCACAGCTTAGTGACACAATCTCACAGCTTCATTCACAATGCGCTTGTACGGTTTGTTTGGAACTCGCATACAGACCACATGTGCTTTCCCCCTGTGGTCACGTATTTTGTGCTCGTTGTCTTGTGTTGTGGTTCAAAGAGGCATTGCCAGATGAGCCACCGTTCGCTCCGTATCTGACAGAAGAGCAAAGGCTAGAGGAACAACAACGTCGGACATTACGACGTAAAAAGCTTTGTCCGCATTGTCGTGTAAGAGTTCAAGCCAGACCAGCAGAAGTTTGGATGATCAAAGGTTTGGTAAACAAGCTTGATGAAAGTATACGATCAGGTCAAGGCAATGATAAGGACACAGACATTTCAAATAGCACCTCTTCTACAGACGCAAAAGCAAAGGAAGCTCGAGGCAAAAACCTGAAAGCAGGCACGGCACTTTGGGACACAATTTTTCCACACAATGATGATTGACGGACGATGCGACAAGTCTTCCTTCAAATCCGTCTGAGCTCATAATATCCACAGCACAATGAGACCTTGAAACCAACAAGCCATTCTCCTTGAAGCACGCTCGACAAGTGTAAACCTTTTTTATCTTCACTGTGCCACCTTCTTAGACCCTTTACTTCAATTCGTCGTTCTATTCTTAATGGATATAGAAATATTATTTGTGTGTGTGTTGAGTGTTGTTGGTGATACAAATGTCAGTAAGGTGGCCTTTCTTCAGAAGTTGTGTGGTTATCAAGCCGTATGAGAATACAATACAAAGATACAGTTGTGTGCTAGATACAGACATTATAGGTACAGTCTGACCTACAAATTGCGCTTTTTGAGGTGTGCATGCCTTCAATCAATCAAGATCGAGATCATCCGCTCCATCTTCATCGAAGTCGTCTAGGTCTCCATCGTCGAATCCTTCGTCAAAATCTTGTGAAGCTCCATCATCCGAATTGCTCGCATAAGCGCCTTCTTCCTCCGAAGAAGAGTTTTCCGTTCCCCCTTCGCTTTCCTCGTCATCATCGTGATGCCCGGCTCCTGCCATCATTTCTTCGTCACGATCGGAAAAATTCTCGTTAGAAGGAGAACGCGCTCTACGATCGCCTTAGTCTTCCTTAGAGTCAGAAAGTGCGATCATACGACCGTATCGTCTTCTTACTGGAGGTATATTTCGACTATTGATAGCGATAAGTTGAACACCGCCATTATCGTGATCATGAGCGCCATGGTGCAGATGATGGTCGAATTCAACTTCATCTTCACTATCATCATTGATCTCGACAGGTCTGTCATCGATGAAATCGTTATCTTCATCTTCCTAATCTTCGTCCTCGCTTACGCCAAATTCTCCTCCATATATCATGTCATGAATGACAAATTCTGAATCGTCTTCATCGTCGTATTCGTCTAGCTTATTTTCGCTATATTCGATCGTACAATATGGATTTGTGTAAGCTCGATTTACGATCTTGCTAGCACACAATCTGCATCGATAAACGCGATCGTCTTTATCGAAGATAGGATGCTGATATGGCTTATCATTGTGTGGAAAATTGTGTCCTAAAGTGCCGTACCTGCTTTCAGGTTTTCACCTCGAGCTTCCTTTGCTTCTGCGTCTGTAGAAGAGGTGCTATTTGAAACATCTATATCCTTATCATTGCCTTGACCTGATCGTATACTTTTATCAAGCTTATCCACCAAACATTTGATCATCGAAACTTCTGCTGGTCTGGCTTGAACTCTTACACGACAATACGGACAAAGCTTTTTACGTCGTAATGTCCGACGTTGTTGTTCCTCTGTCCTTTACTCTTCTGTCAGATACGGAGCAAATGGTGGCTCATCTGGCAATGCCTTTTTGAACCACAACACAAGACAACGAGCACAAAATACAAGACCACAAGGGGAAAGCGGGACGTTGCTGCAGAAGCTTCAAGGGATAAGAGAGCCGAGTACAGTAGCGACCTCGAAGAAATGGAGAGAGACATTACCGAAAAGCTAGGAAATTGGGGTATGTCAGAACCATCGGATGGTTGGTAAAAATTACAGATTGTAGCTGTAGATGATTTGTCAAAAAAGTGTTCGTTTGAAAACCAGAAAAGCAGGGAATCTCAGATCCATCGGATGTTTAGTAAAAATGACAGATTACAATTGCAGATAATTTGACAAAAAGTGTTTGTGTGAAAGCCAAAAAAGCAAGAAATGTCCGATTCATCGGATGGCTAGCAAGAATGACAAATTGCAGCTGCAGATGACTTGTCAAAGAAGTGCTCGTTTGACAGCCCGAAAAGTGGGATAACTCAAAACCATTGGATGGTTAGCAGAAAGAACTGAGGATTGCGGCTGCAGATTGTGCAGGTAAATCGAAGCTATAAAGAAAGCCATTGTGCAAACGTCAACAAAGCGCGATATCTCAGATATATATGATGGTTGATGAGAACTCAAGATGGTCAAACATAAGGCAGCAGCGACGTAATATATCGAACATGTAAAGGCTTGCAATGTATAAATTGCCGGGAAGCCGAACGAACGATATATCTCAATTCCATCGGATGGTCAAAGGGCAGTCTAGAACTTTAGAGCATGCTAGCAAATGGATGGTCGTTTTGGTCATATAGTATGCATGTGATTTATTGTCAGTTGACCTGTCAGGATTCGATTTTGACATACTTGATAATCTAAGGAAAATTATACGAATTGTGAAACTGTGAATTGAGAGGATGAAAGGTATATAAAGTCCCCTTTTTTGATTGAATCCGACACGCAACACCCACATCTCATTCCAACCATCATCTACTTGTCATTCAGGACCCTCTTGCCCTTCAAATACCCTTGCCATTCCAGGACCCCCTTGCCGTTCAATCAGCACCGTCCACTTCTCATTCAGCCAGCATCACATCCTTTCTCACAAGACGATGGCTGTGGCTTTCAAGTACAAGCAAATGTGGCATCACTTCAATTCACTTCACAAAAACGGCTCACAGGAGCAAACGTAAAAGTAGGGCCCTAACCAACCAATATCTTTTTTGATGCTCCGGTGAATCATTTGAAAAATCAACGAACGCCATCTCATATGTGTCCTCACTCAACTAGCATCATCCACTTCTCGTTCTTGGATCACAGCTCATTCAACCGGCATCATCATCATATCATTCGAGATCCAACTATCGTACAATCGGCACCGCACACTTTTCTTTTCAAGCCGTCACACAACATCGATCACGGAAATCAACGTAAACACGACTGGCATCACTTCATGAAAAGAGCTCACAAGTACAAACGCCTGAATGAGGACTAAGCTCACCAATGTTCCCCCGGACGATTCCAATTTTTTTTTGAAAGATCAAGGAGAGCAGTTGATTACACGGCTTATCCCTTTACCGATGCACGCAAGATCAAATCTCGAACGAATCAACCGAGTAAGCGAAACATCATCAGCCGTAATGGAGCACTTGCCATCGCTATTATTCAAGTCTTCCGACACCGTCAAAGCAGCATCATCTTTACTCAACGGTTTCAAAATTCAATACACAAACAACTTTCATGGTCACGAGGGCATTACTTGATCATGAATCAAAATGGCGACATGATCACCCTTGCCACATCTTATACGACACTTACTTTCTCATCCTTGTGCCATCCTTTCCTAGGATCAAATTTCTCGTTCTTGGCTATTCCACTACTCCTTCCACTCCTTCTCACACACATCCTGAAGCAACACCTTGCTTTGCAATTGCGTTGAAAAAAGAAGAAGATCAAAAAAATAAAAAAAAAAAGATCAAAAAGATAAAAAGGTCCAAAAAATTAAAAAAAAAATTAAAACGATGACCTACTTCTCATTTGAGAATCACTTCATATCCAACTAGAATTATGTGCTCCTCATTTCATAGTCATCTCTACCGCCAACACTCACTTCTCATCCCGCAATCATCATCCACTTCTCATCCCGCAATCATCATCCACTTCTCATCCCGCACTCGTCATCCACTTGCCATTCCCACTTGTCATTCAAGATCCACTTATCGTCAAAGATCCACTTGTCATTGAGTCAGCATCACAAATGATTGTGGCACTTAAATACAAGCAAACATGGCATCAATTCACATCACAAGAAAGCCTCCCAAGTACAAACGCCGGCATGCAACCCTAATCAAGCAAGGTCTTCCATTGATGCACCGGTGAATCCTTTGAAAATTCAATGAACGCCATCTCATATGCGTCCTCACTCAACCGGTATCGTCCACTTCTCATTTGTGGATCATAGACCACTCAAGCGACATCATCCACTTCTCATTCGATGATCACATATCATCCAACCGGTATCAATCTCTTGTCATTCGAGAATCACCTATCGTACAGTCAGCATCACACACTTCTCTTTTCAAGTCGTCATGCAACATAGATCGCGGCAATCAACACAAACACAAGCCGAATCACTTCATGTAAAGAGCTCGCAAGTACAAACGCCTGAATGGAGCCCAAATCACCCAAGATTTTCTTCTTCCGTTCGGGTGAAACCTTTCAGGATTCATGAAATGTCATCTCGTACGTCGCTCAAGATCGAATGATGACCTGGCAATCAGACAAGTAGGACAAGAGAAGAAATAGCACACTTGACATCAACATTTATCTTTCCTCAGCCCTCTTCCATGCTCTCACCTCACACTCTTTGGCTTGACATCCTTTTAACATTACCGAAGAAGTCACTCATCATTGGTTGATTTGAAGTGGGGTCGATCAAGCCGGTCAAAATTTCTTCATTCATAATGACTCTGCACTCGCATTCACGGTGCTCTTACAAGCGATCACTGGTAGTCGAAGATGTATCGGTCTTAAGATTTTGGATGATGGATCAAATACACCTTATCAAAGAAGCGTCCATCCTCTCCGACTTGATGATATTGCAAAAGCAAGATAGGCCAAAACTTTTCGTTTCGCAGGTTTTCAAACACCTTCCTCTAAACACTTAGAGGGTGATGATTGCGGGATAGGAAGAGGGTAGAGTGAGAAGGATGGAGTGAGAAGAGGGAGGAGTGAGAAGAGGGAGGAGTGAGAAGAGGGAGGAGTGAGAAGAGGGAGGAGTGAGAAGAGGGAGATGGTTGTAAAATGATTAGAGGATGATAACGGCGGAAGGATAAGAGGAAGGAGAGGATGATGACGGCGGAGTGAGGAGAGGGAAATGATGGCGGAGTAAGAAGGGAGTTGGTGACCTCTTCTCATCCGCAATCAAAAGGCGCTTCTCATTCAACCAATATCATTCTCATCTCGTTCAAGATCCACTTCAATTCAATCAGAGTCACACATTTTTTCTCTCACGCTAAACAATTCTTATTCACTCCTGTACAATATATACGCATACGATGTTTCTAAAGTCATCTTTGCTTTTCGGCAGATCTATCATTATTTGCGTCATTTTGCTTTTTTTTAAGTCTAGAACGTGCTTTATTGATTCTGATCTGCTCCGCATTGGTTTCCCGATATCGTTTATCCGCTTGTCTTGCTTTTTCCAAATTCTCAAGTCTCCATTTCTTACTTCTGGCCGCACATTCATCTAAATGATTTTTTTGATACTCCCTAAAGTATTTTGCCAAAGATTCTTTGTGGTTTTGATTGTACTTTCGCTTTCTTGCTTTCAATAAATCGAATGATCTCAAGTCCTTTGAAGTCAGTGTACCGGCTAACTTACGCTCACGAACACCTCTTCGCCATTCTCTCGCCTTCTCACGCGCGTAGGCTCTCTTACGATCGGCTTTCTCTTTGGGATCCATTGCTGGCCGCTTTCTTTTCTTCCCGTTTTTATCGGCTTCCGCTTCTTTCAGTGCTGGAACATGAGTTTCTGTATTTGTATTCTCTACTGTATAGTGTGTATTCATACCTTCATTCTCAGAACCATGTTCGGGAGGAGGTGTCTTGTTCAAGTCAAATTCCTTCGGCTCCTTAGACTGGGAAATCACTTCTCTTAAGCCAAATGAAAGGCAAAACCACAACATAGACAGCATTAACATGTGAAATTGCATCATTTGACCGTGTTGTAAGATCCAAGAGAGAAGTATATTGCAATTGTCTCATTTTATCCTGATCATTTTTTACACAGCTATGGATTTGGATATATTCAGCCCCTGCTGAACTTTTGCCCTTTTCTAGCAGTAACGCAGCGTAGCAGGTATTTCAGATGTACCTTATCGACACCCTTTGTTTGCTCATCAAAGTTGCCTTCAGTCTCATATCAATGAAAGATAGATTTGCAGAAATGTACTACGGTGGTAAAATACTCACATACTCTCATTTCTCACACATTTCTCACACTGAATAGATCGAAACACTGCATTGCATTTAGTCAAGTCTCAAGCTGCGCTCTCACGTACAACAAAACACAATACTGTGTACACATATTTGCATAACTTGTACTCGCTTGGGAAAAGTAGCTATCAATTGTATTAAGAGCGTCAACTGTTCTTTGGGGCAGATTCATCTTGCTTTATCAGATTTCTAGAAGGAGTGGCTTGAAACCTCTCTTGCTTTCTAATATGATATGAATTTTACTCGCTTCTCTTGCTTTTCCCAGGATTTCTACTTCTCCATCTTCTACTTTTAGCGGCACATTCACTCAAATGATTACGACGATAATTCGAATTGTACTTTGCCAAATGTTCTTTATGTTTCTCAGCGTATCTCTTTTTTTCTGCTTTTAATCGTTCAAGTGATCTTTTATCACTTTCAGTCAGTGTACCTGCTAGTCTACGCTCACGAATACCTTTTCGTCTTTCTCTAGCCATTTCACGATCGTGGACTTTTTTTCGTTCGGCTCGGTCTTTTGTAATGGTTTCTGATTTACGCTTTCGTTTCTTTTTGCTCTGATTCACTTTTGCTTCTATCGTTGTTGGCACATCGATCGCTTTATTTTCCATCGGTTGGTGTGAATGTATGACTTCATCCTCTGAGCTATCTTCCGGAGGAGGTGTTTTGTTCAAGTCAAAATCTTTTTGCTCCTTTGTCTGGCCGAGAACGTCATTCAACCAAAATAGCAAAGGAAGCCATAGCATAGGCAGCATTAGAATACGAGATCGCACCATTTGACTTTATGGTATGGTGCATCAGAGAGGAACGGTAAAACTATCTCAATGCGTCTGAACTGCGTTAGATTGAGGTATCTTCAGCCCCTTCCGTTTATGTCTGTTGACTTTAATTTTACCGGCATACGTAAAGATTATGACAAATACGAGGCTATGCTACAAGAAGTGAAAGGAAAAAGTACATCACATTTACCATCTCGTCGTACCAATATGCTGCAAAAGTCCACGTAAGTCAGCAGGTTGCGGCTGACCTGTTTCGCTCGTGCTTCCAATACCCGCCATTGAACCATTAGAACGAATCCGTTCCGGTCTTGCATCTTCATACATTGACATTCCATTCGAAGCCAATGGATCAGGTTCTTGATGTTCATGAATTCCTTCTTGATCATTCAAATCTGAATGATCTTCATTGACTGCTTGTAATCTACGATTTACACCATTGCCAGATCGATGTGCATGATGGGCTAAAGCGGAAATGGATGCACTCGTTGGCACGCTTCTTTGCTGACCGGACGGTCTGATTGCACTTTGCTGTAAAGCGGCCGCATTGCTGGGCTTGCTTGCCAACAGTATACTTCGATCAAATGCTTCGCTGTACATCTGACTCTTTTGAGCCAACGTAGAATTTGCCGGTGTGAAAGCAACGCCGCCACTTGCATTTGTCGTCGTACCCAACCCACTCAATTTACCAACCGGAACAGGAGCAGGTGGAGGAGAAGTAGCGAAATGTCTACCATTTGTCGTTCCTGCAAATGTATGTTGTGTATGAGCAGGTGGTGAAGTACTCATTTCAGCCGCGATACGAGACAGGAACATTGAAGCAGTCGGGTCTGATGGATGCCAATTCGGATTTGCTGCACGGAAACCAAGCAGAGATTGTTCCATCTTCATTTGATTCGATGCGAGACGATCATGATGAGAAGGTAATTTGCCCGTACCTTTTCCACTTTTGGCATTTCCCTGTAATTTGAAATCAAACACTGCAAACGAACAAACGTATCCCAGACCATCCACATGAACGGTAAATTCTCGGAAAAAGTCAATGATTCCTGGTGCACTACGAGGTAGAGATTTCCAAAGGATAAAAGGCGTGAAGATGACCGAAAGTAACTCGCTTATAAAGATCGAGACCTTTAGTCTGTACATCGTTCCAAACTCTGAATGAACTTCAGCCGAGTGGAATCGTCCTTTCCAATGTTCAGGTAGGTGATGTGTATATTCAATCACCGCACGCAAAAGCACTTCAGGCTCAAATACTTGCTGTTCGTCCGGCACCATAGCTCTTGATACCGCCAGAATTGCAGTAAACACTCCGATATAGAACAGCACATTCCTTTGATGAGTAATGTCGAAGTGTACAAAGAGATCCGGATCCAATACTGAGGCTAAGAGAAGCACGGCTGTGAATGATCCCGCCACGAACGAGACAAATCTGGCAATAATTGCAATCCTTTCTTTGGGAAATTGATCGATATATCGTTGTGCGTAAGGGTATGAATTATGACATCTGCGTCTGAATATGTGGGGCAATTCATTGAACTCTCTGAATTTCCATCGTGCAAATTGAGTATATTGCCGAGCACCGAGGGAAGAAGGATTCTTGTGATACTCCTCAAAATATCGGAAAAACGAATAGAAGAGCAGGTAAATGACAATAAATGGTGCAAACACTGCATTGACAATTGCCATGAAAATGAAACGTCTCTTTAGCCCTTCGATAAGTTCTTTCCTATGCCTTTCCGTCACGAACTGTTTCCTTACTTGACCCTTATGATCGAACAAGAATCCAAGTAGACAAAAAGTAAGGTTCCATTCAAGTGTTCTTGTTAATTCTGGAGTTCTATTTTGCAATCCAACGATGGGTATACTGATATCCAAAACGTCCTTATTAAACAAAGCAACCAGATAATTTTCCTGTCTCATAATTCGATTGGCAACATCGTGTGCATCTAGCTTTCCGCTATTGTCCGGCCTTAGATTTGATGAAGAAGAGAGTGAAAGCGTCGGGTGTGTTTCTCTCAAATGAGCAATCCTCGATACTACATCATGCCACGAGATAGATTGAACGTCGGCGTCTGGCACATTGAGAAGATGGGTATAAAAGTCACGCATAGCAATCAACTTGGATATGCCCAATCCGAAACGAACCACTTGCCAGGCGTAGAGACCAACAAACAAGGCGAAAGCCAATACTGTCAAACCGGAAAACCTACTTATGCACTGATGCACAACCACATCTGATAGTTGTCCATCATGTTTGATTTTGGAATAATCCACACATCCGACGAGAAAAGTGGAGAAGCCGACAACGAAAGCGATCGTTAGCAAATTGAGCAATTTTGTTAGGAGTATGCAGACCAACCCTTTCCCCACATAGTACCCATACACTTCTTGCAAGAATTCGTCCATATTTTCCAGTGTACCCCATTTCCATAGCGCTCTGTCTTTAGCGTTCAACCTGCGAACAGGATGACCGGACGATCCATTTGCAGTGTCTTCGACACCATCCTGAGCTCTTATCCTATCTGCACCCTTTTGTATCTTTCTCCTTATCTGTGAGAATAATCCTCTATCCCTTTCATGCCGCCTCCGGGAAGCAGAGGAAGAAGGCGTTGATGCACGCGGAGAGCCCATCAAGCCAGCTTCTTCATCCATTGGCTCCTCAATACCATCGGACTCATCGTCGTCTCTCGCAGCTATAGCATCTTGAGCTGGTCTTATCCTAGAAAGGCGAACGCTTTCCGAAATAGTTGCTGGTTGTCGTGCTGATGGTGATTTTGAAGGTGTCAAATTTCTTACAGCAGATTTTCCCATCTCTTGATCGTGCGTATCCAGCACTATACTTGCAGGAGGACCATCATCTTCTTCAAGATCATCTCTATCCTCTATATGCATACTTTCATCTTCTGATTCATTCCTTTGTACCGCTCTTTTTCCATCCGGTGATCGACTGCTGCCTGCCTTTGCGTGGGCGTGCGATTCATCTTCGTGATCGGAATCGGGTGCGAATGGATCCATACTTTCGAGTGCTTTGGACGACAAAGTCTTGTGACCTTGAATGGTTGTAAGTCAAACAGCATTCATCCCCATCATCATTTGGGGGAGGGGTAATTCACAGCCAGGGTCCGTGCATGCCTGCCTGCATTATCAATTTGTCGTTTTTATGCGGAGATTTTATTTGACTGCGTCTAGGTAAGCAGCTTACATACACACACTGCGCAGGCGCGTCATTGCAAAGTGTGCATGCAGTGCATACGCCATGGCCGACATGTTCGGTTTAGATGGTCCCTCCTCATAAACATGATGATGCAATGGTGTATGGAAGACTGGATGAAATAAATAGCCTGAATGTATTCTAGCTAGTATCTGTGGAATGGAAGCCAACATTCAATAAAGACTTGTCCATTGGGTCTGAGTCGAAGCCTAGAAAGCGGTCCGAATAACGCGAAGCGGCTGATATAAACAGAAAATTGTATTGAATGACACAAAATGCGCAAATTCATCGGACTTCCATCGATGCTGTGACTTTTCAGAACGTGTACAAATCCGCTCCTTGCTTCCACCAAAAAAAATCACTTTTCAAGGATGGATTCATATAAACGTCAATCAGAAAATGCATTTTCATCAGCTGATTTTTATGCTTCAGCACCAACAAGTCCGGTAGAAGCTACAGCTGGTGCAAGAGATGGAAAAGATTACAATTTCCCTTCAACTGCAATTGCAATGTATCAATCGCCTTTTGAGAGTTACAGAGATGTTTCAGCTCCAAGCAGGCAATCTCAAGACAATCTAAGAGCTCACAAATCTTCAAGGTCATCGTTGAATTTTCACAGTGCTGCTGATTTGCATCATCAAATGACAAATGACGCAGCTAGCATGTACAAAAGCAGTAATACAAACGCATATGATGCATCTTCCATGTACACTTCAACGCTCGTCGAGTCACCTTTTCGATCACCATATGAGGAATATGCTCCGACACCAAAGAGTTCAAAAGCACCAAAGATGAACAACGCACGTAAATCATTGCTAGGTCCAGATGCGTTTGGATTCGATGCACAGAATGGCGACCCACGGGTAATAATGGGAGAAAAAGGTAACGACCGTAACTTACCACATCAACCAACATTTGCATCAACAAACAAACGCCAAGCAGAAGACGATGGAGCGCATATTGAATTGATCACAGTGCCAGGCTTAGGCGCAGAGTATACTGAAGAAGAAATGCAAGAGATGAAGAAATCAGCTCGAAAATCCAATCGAAAGCAAAAGATGAGAAATTGCTGTGTTTCCACTTTCAGTTCAAAGAACAATACCATGCTACGAGATGAAGATGGCCAGAAAACGTTGATTGGTCGCATTCAACCTCGAGTGGCTGTTTTTGTTGCTTTTGGATTTTGCATATGTTTGGGAGTGCTACTGTATTTCGTCATACCTCGTGTTCCGAGCTTTGCCGTTCAAAGTAGGACTCCTCTGACGGCCATTCCAGATGGCTCAAGTATGGTGACCCATCATTCACCAACCAACTTCAGTATGGATATGAGAGTCAACATTCGAGCGGACAATACGGCCAATTGGCTAACAACAAAGATTAGCAAGATGGAAATGGATGTGACTGATTTGAGTACTTTAAAGAAAGTAGGTCAAGGAATCGAAACGGATCTTTCGTTCCCTGCTCGTAAGAAGACTGTCTTTCCACTTTCAGCCCACTTTGCTTATGCAAGTATCAACGTTACTGGCGATCAGACGTGGTCACATTGGATCAATGCGTGTGGACCAAAGTGTGAGTGAATACCAAATTGCTATCTTTCTTGATTCTTACCATCTTTTATTTTCTTTTTGCAGATGACAACACTCCAAGACAATCTCTTAACCTGCAATTTACCCTACGGATGCATATCGCTGGCTTGATCGGCGAAAAAGGAACTTCTGTGCAATTATCCGACATTGAATGTCCTTTCATTTTGCAACCAGAGTGAGTGTAGCCCGATGTGGAATCTTTGTCACCGTCTACTAACCGCTTCTCATCCTTCTCGCAGTCAAACGTGATCATGCCTTCAAAAAGGTTGTTTTTAAACAAATCAAATTGATACAAGAAGCTGACAAATGCAACTATCAGAGTGTATAAAGGAAATAATACAAATACTATACTATACAACAAAAAGAAAACATTTCTTTGAGTGGGGGGGCAAACTATGCAATATATTAGCTATCAAGCGATGCAGCCCTTCGACGTTGACGCTTTGATTTAGCAGGTCTGTCTAAAGAAGTCAAAGAATGAGATGTGCTCATTCGATGATCGCCTTCATTTGCAATTTCATCTTCTTCGCTCGATTCACCCGTTGATTCTTCGGCCGCCACTGGTTTCAGTGAAGGCGTTGATTGTGGGGCTGCAGACGGTTTGGCAGCTTCAGCCTGAAAAGGCTTCTTTGAGAAAGCGTTTGAACGGATATCCAATGTACCATCATGCGTACGAAGATTATAGCTTGGTTGAGACAAAGGGTTCGCATCTTCTACATCTCTCCACCATTCTCGAATCAAAGTCTGGATGCCGTTCCGTTCACCTTCTATCCGTTTTCGTTGCCAAAATGCAGATCTGGCACGATCGGCTGAAGTGATCCCCGGTCGATCATCTTCCTCTGTGTCATCATCTTCCCATACAGGCCAAGGTCTGTCAATGCTCCTGCCCGCTTCCAAAACGGTTACCCGTTCGATATCCGTCATTCCCGCTCCTCTTCTTTGCATGCCAACATTTCCCACCTCATTAAAAGGCGTTGGCGATAATGCCAATGCACCACCACCTGCATCCTTTTCGTCCATTTGTGCCATCCTTGCTCGTAATCCAGGAGCAACGAAATGACGTTCAAATGCGCCCATATGTGCAGGATTTTGCGTCCATGCACTTCGTTCTGCACCTGCAATTGGTGGATTTTCGGTCATGCCTTTTGTCCAATAAGAACGAGCATTTCTACTTGCTGCCAAGATGCAATCTTGTTCGTTAATCAAAACTCGTACTGTCAAGATTGAACCAATCGTGATCAGCAAGAATACAATCTTTGAATCGGAAGTAGCGACAAAGTATGCCAATCCTGCCAAATCCAACACGATCAAAATCGTGTAGTACATGATCGAGCTATTGAATAGGCTTGAGATCAGATTGGATTCTGTTGAAATGTTTCGCTTTAGCTTCAGGATGCTAGAAAGCGTCGCCATTGCCAAGACCAGATCGGACACAGTTAGCGTCACCAAAAGGGCAAAGATTGTGTAAATGGGAGCCAGATAGTTGTACTCCTGACGAAGCTCCGGTGCCAATTTCATCTTTTGCGATAGTGCGAGCGAGAACGAAAGGCAAGTAGCTTCAAGCATAGGTTTGTCTGAACGGCGAACGAGGCTCAAATACGAAAAGGAGAAATGCTGAAAAACGAATGCTGTCACAAGTGCTGCCAAACGTGCCAAAACGAAGAAAGCGCATACAATCTGTAAAAGGGAATAATACCGAGTCGATTGGATTGCCGCTCTAGTGATCGTCCTTGATCGCCATGCATTTACGCATGCTGTTGAAATTGATACCAAAGTAGAAATTGCAAATGTGAGTGGCCATATCTTTGTCGAGCATCTTTGTAGCGTTTGATTTGGACTCCACATAGTGACGGCCAGTAATATTCCAAGCATCAATGTCCAATAACGTAACCACAAAATTGCCAAAGGCATCACGCCTCGCTTTGTACGTTTTCTATGACACAATCTCCACCATATTACCGATTCTGTTGTAATGTGAATCGTATGTTCATAAAACGCCAAAAGAGGAATTATTGTTGGCACAATAAGTAATCCTGCCACGCTTGAATACCATTGGGTTGCAGCCCAGCCTTCAGCCGATATCGGATGGGTAGGATGGTAATTGTCAGGTACGGTATAGTCAATAGGCGGTTGAAGATATACGTCCCCAAAAGAGGGAGCCCAAAGGTTTATCATTGTGTGATAGTAGGTGTTGAATCAAGAATTTTGATTAATTCTAGGATGTCATTGGTACGATTGATACATGTCAATTGTAGGATGACAATAATGGCGATACTTGAGAAGAGACTATAATTGACCAAAGGATAGCATTGGGATCAAAGAGGATGATGGTTGTAAAATGAAATTGATCAACAGCATTTGCTGAGCCCGTATTAATCATCGGCACCATGGGATCTTCATATTTCAATCATCCGAACTTTTTTGTGGATGAAACAAACAAGGTGGGCGTATGGCCTCTGTTATTTGATTCGGCAGCTTGTTTTAGCCCAAGCTTGGCCGTATAAAGTGGGGGGAAGAATAGCTGAGAAAAAGTGCCAAAACACGGATGCAATTCCCATGTGGAACCCAAAACTGCACATAACCATGCGGTCCGATTCAAATTGCATTAAAAAATAAAACAAAGTCACGCGTACGAAAATTAAATCGGGAATGCAAACTGCACAAGGAAAAGCTTAATCAACTCTCTTTAGTGGGGAGATCTAAAATACAACCTAAAGAGCCGCATATCATCATCTAACCATATCTATAACATCTTTCCAACTGATCATCTTGACTATTACTCCACATCTGACACTCAACTTATCCAATATCTATTACAACTAATCATTCACCGAGCCGGAATCGCGGTCCGAAGAGAAGAGCGGTGATCGGCAGCTTCAAGGGAATGGCGATGAAGTAAGACGTATGCTTTGAACATATGTCTGCAAGATTCAGGTACGATCAAACAGCCGCTTGAAAGGCATCTTCCCTTCATCAAAACTTCCAAGATGGCCCGTTATGCTGTTGAGTCCGGCTATGACGCCCGCATCTCGGGAGGCGAATTTGACGGTATGAATGCAAACGATTGGGGAGCGCAAATATTCATACCAACTTCATTACCTCGCTTAATCGGTATCACAGTCGCAGTCGTGATAGGGTTATGGGAATTCTGCTCCGTCTTCCCTGCAGAAGTTGTCCTATGGCAAAGAGTAACCAAGCAAAGGCCGAGCAGGACAAGCTTTGCGCCTTGGACTACGTTGATTTTACGATATCTGATGTTATGTTATAGCGTCACAACAGCATTCATCGAGTGGTCTACGACTATGCCTACTGATGCTGCGTGCAAAGCAGCCTCAGGTTTCCTGTTTGCGTCTTGGTGTGCTCTTGTTGTCGTATGCTCATTTGCAATTGCGTGGCGAGCACAAGCTGTCGCAAGAGGTGTGTTGCAAGACAAGGCCACAGTGATAGCCATGCAAATGATGATTGGCGTTTTGGTGTTGATGCAGGTTTTTATGGCTGTCTTTACTGTTGTCTGGTCTGCAGCAGTGGACTTTCAATATACTCCCGTTGAGGTCAATGGTCAATGCACTATTCGCTCTCATCATGGCGATATATTTCAACGTAAGCACGATTTCAGACCGAGGCCTTTCAGAGATTATGTTGCAGACGTACTATTGTGGTATTGGGTCGTATTGATTGTTTTCAATCTGTGCTGTTTGCTCTTGGTCATTTACGCTCTACGTACCTTAGCAGCTCGATCTCGAGGATTTTCAAAGTTCATCAATGGAATGTTGAACCATAGCGTGTTCTACTTTGCACTTGTTTTGCTATTATCGATCGTATGTATCATTTGGCGCAAGGAGGAGAGCGCAAGTTGGCTCATTAGGCCGACCACTGTGATCGAAGCTGCAGTCATGATTCGTATCCTACTTGCTGAACAAAATGCTGCAAGAAGACCAGTGGATACAACGTACATGGATCAAAGACACTTTAGCAATCGGGGCTATACACAGAATGCAGTTGATGCGCAACCAGTCACTTATCCACGCGGAGATGCTACGATTCAGTTTGTGAACCGGAATCAAGGTATGGAACGCAGGAGCATTGACAGGATGGAGAGTGGAGGAGGAGCAGGCACGGATTATGATCCGAATGCAATGCAAGATCATCCTGCAATGGTTACGCGACCAATCTATCAACCTTACAGTATCATGGACAATTTAGGCCAAGCATTCAGTCAAGTGGATAGTAATACTCATGACTTGGATGGCCAGAGCCTCAGTAGCAACCGTCAAAGCATCAGTGGAGTTCAAAATGCGTACCCGGGAGTTGTCATGATGGAGGAAGAGCAAAGACGGCTAAAAATGGAAGCCAAAGTAGCACAAAGTAGTCTTGATCCTGACTCGATGCAAGATTACGAAAAAGGAACATCCACTGCACCTTCAGCAGACATTTCTAACACGAATGGATCTAGCTCATCCGAGAAGCAACAAGGAAAGAATTCAAACACAACTTCGCAAACCGGAATTCAGACGAATCGTCCAACTTTACGTTTCCTACAACGCAATCGATCACACGATGATATCGATCATGGCTATGAAAATGATGATGATGATGATGAATTAGGCATTCAAACGGTCAACTTCTGATCTTCATCGTCATGTCAAATTGTAAAATAGTGTACTTTTAACTGTAATCGAAAGATTAACTTAGACCAGCATTGTAATCTCATGCTTTTTTCCATGCTTAGTCATCTTTTTCTTTGCCGCATAAGATTGAGCCAGGCCTTGGATTTCTTCTTAAAAATTAAACACTAGCAAAAAGGTGGGTGCATACAATCGTGTGGTCAGATCTTCCAACTTTTGTTCTCGATCCCAATACCACCGTCATTCTACTTTTGAAGGTCAATATGGCAAACGCAGCATATATCAGCTCAGCTGAAAAGGCACTTGGACCGACTCTTTTGGGTGGAGGAGATGAAGTCGTGAAGAAGGATATCGATGCTTGGATCGCCAAGATTAACAGCGGTGGAAAGGATGTTACAGATTTAAAGGTGAGCAAATCTAGAATTGGAGGAAGCCGAATGGATGTGAGACGGAACGCTTTGAGGATATCTGGGACTCGGACAGCGAGAGCTGAAGCTGGCAATGATCCTTTCACTTCTCAGAAACGTGTTCAAGTCAGGCCTACTGCATTCTTGTCTCGGCTTTTTCGTTCGTCTCGATTGTCAATACGTCACCGAGTTGGGCTAACAGCAATCTCTTTTCTTTCTGCTTTATACTCCTTTCGCAACTCTCATCCTCTTGATCGCAAATTCTTTTCACGCAAATCTCCATCACAGGTTCTTGATCGAGTATTGGCAAATAAGACATTCATTGCTGGAAATGCAATCAGTTTGGCCGACCTTGGTTTATTTTCATCATTGTATGATCAAGTTTCCAAACTTCCTGCAGCAGAACAATATGCACATTTGAATGTGACCCGATACGTTTCGCATATCTCACATGTAGCATCTCAATTACCACACGATAATGCAAGTCAATATGCTGCTTTTGATCCTACGTTCGAAGGACAACCTACGATCGAACGTAAAGATGTTGCAGCCGAAAAGCAAAAAGCAAAAGAACAAAAGCAAGCCGCTCAAACGGCAAAAGAGCATAGCGCAAATGCCGAAAAAGAAGGTAAAGCAGAAAAAGGTGGTTTGGCAGCCGTTGCTGCAGCTCCCGGGGCAAAGAAGGAAAAGAAACCAAAGGGAGAAGCAGCTGGTGGTGGAAAGAAAAAGAATGAACCAGCTGCTCCTACTATCCCGATACCATCTCAAGTTGATTTGAGAGTAGGAAAGATTGTCAAAGTCGAACGTCATCCTGATGCGGATTCTTTGTATTTGGAACAGGTCGATTTCGGAGAGCCAGAAGGACCACGAACGATTTTATCCGGTTTGGTGAATTACGTTCCTATCGAAAAGATGCAAGATAGATGGGTTGTTGGTGTTTGCAATCTCAAACCAGCTTCTATGCGTGGAATCAAGAGTTATGGAATGTTATTATGTGCATCACAAAAGGATGCGAAAGATGCTGGAGTAGAACCAGTTCATCCTCCTGAGGGAAGTGCTGTTGGAGATTGTGTTTACGTAGAAGGCTATGAAGGCTTAGAGCCTGAAACACAGCTCAACCCTAAGAAGAAGATCTTTGAGACCATTCAACCAAATTACACTACCACAGAAGGCTTTGAATGTGCATGGGTAGGAGCAGGACCACAAGATCAAGAAAGCGGAGAGAAGACCAATCGCTTGATTCGCACAGCCAAGGGTGTCATTACTGCACCTGGATTCGCAGGCGCTCAATTGAGCTGATGAAGCAGTCCTATATATACTACATTTAAATGAGAAGTGATGTATCATTACAGCATGCCAATTGCAATAAAAATGGTATCTATTTATATTGTACAAGTCTTGTGTGCGAATTTGTGCTTATCAGATGGGCAATATTTTAATCATTTTCCTAGAGAGCTTGCCAATTGCTTAATTTCCTCTTCGATCTCCTTTCTAAGTCCATCGATCATCAAATTGTCGTAATGATCCTTCAACGAATCGATCAGGTACTGCAAGCCACCGTTCTTGGTATCTCCTTCCAGTATATCATCCAGTCCATTGGTAGAAACAGGAATCCGATGATCCGTTACGCGATCTTGTTGATAATTGAACGTACGAATTCTATCCATTCTGTTCATCGAGGCAATTTGACTCTTTCGAACGTCACGAACTTGAGATTGTTCTTCACGCATCTTTCGATCTAAAAGTCTAGCACGTAAGATTTCCCATGCTTTTGTACGATTTTGATGTTGTGATCGTGAATCTTGCATGGAAACAGTTATTCCGGTAGGTTCATGTGTTAATCGAATAGCAGATTCAGTCTTGTTCACATGTTGTCCGCCAGCACCACGACTTCGCATTACTTCTTCCTTGACATCTTTTGGATCCACTAGATCATCTAAAGACGCTTTACTGCTCGAGCTCTTGTCATCATCAGCAGATGGTAACACAACGATTGCGATTGTGCTGCTTTGTAATTTATTAATTGCAATCGTTGTAGGCACACGTTGAACACGATGAACGCCAGCTTCATGACGTAGTAAGCCATATGCACCACGACCTTTGACTGAAAGTAAGACTTCCTTGTATGCATCTGTTCCACCGGTGGCATGGGCATCAGCTGGGGTGACCGAAAGTTCTTCTACCTGCAAGCCACTTGGGATACCATCAAAGCTTAATTCGACATTTTGACAAAATCGTGTATACATTCTTGCCAATTCCGCAGTAAAGATGCATGATTCTTGACCGCCAACACCAGGTCTAATCTCAATAATTGCAGATTGATTGTCGACTGGCTCTTGAGGAATAATTGCCGCCCTAATATTCTTTCGTAATTCATCAATTACCTGCAAAGTTGATTCTGCTTCTGCAACGGCCATTTGACGTAAATCCTCATCAGGTTCAACGGCTGGATCGGTCATACTCAGCAGGTTTGCTGCAGTTTTTTGTATCTCTTTCCATTCTTTATGAAGCTTTTGCGCTTGATCTAATTCTCCGATTGCTTTGGCTGTTGCGACGTCACCTTTTCCCTGTCTCTCTTGTTCGATCAGCAGATCTCGCTTGCGTACGACTAGATTTAGTAACCCAATGACTGCGTCTGACTCTTCTGGTTCAGATGCGTAGTATCTCTGTTGAATCTTTAGAGCATTTGGCCTCCCTTGAGGCTGCAGCCGAAGTGATCTTGATTCCCAAAGTGGAGCGTTAGGTGAGTGGTGGAAGTGATGATGCTGTATGTTGATTGAGCATTTAATTGTTTGACGATAAAGCCTTGAGGATGGCCTTATGGATCGACTACATTTTGCAATGCTACTCCTTATATTACTCCGAAGCATCTTTTGATTGTTGATATGATCATAAGCTAATCATGACCGAATCAATTTTTATTCCGAGAAGCTTTAAATTGGAACAACACGCTAAAAGGTAATCTTCCTAACTTCTTCTCATTCTTCTGCACGTGGGGAGCATCACGGAGACAGCAGATGGGAAGACACGTCGTTGGATGTAAAGAAAGGCAGGCATAAAGTCACTCTAAAAGTGCTTAAAGCTGTGAACAGCAGTGCACACACACACACGCACGCCATGCATTGACTTTGGAATGCGTTCAAACCAAAGAAGCACACACACACACTCTCCTTCTCATCACGATCTAGCTTCCACCATCAAAAGCCAGTAAGGGAGTTTGCTGTCATCACTCATTTCTGAGCTGTAACAAAGGCTGTGCTGTTGAATCCCTCTCGCTCGATCTTGACGCTCATTTTCTTCGATTTGATACGTGCTCGAGCTTAACTTTGGCCCAGCATGGATGCCACAGCATATACCGTCGTCGCACCTCTCGACGATGGAATGGAATTGCAAGCTTCCGATTTACAGCAAATTCTACAAAAAGCTGATGATGATACAAAACTTGAAACGCTTCGAAGAATTATCGTCTCTACCCTTAATGGTCAACCTCAACCAACACTTTTGATGCCAATCATTCAATATGTCCTACCGAGCAAGAATAAACAACTCAAAAAGATGTTGCACTTTTACTGGGAGGTCTGCCCAAAGTACGATGACCAAGGGAAGCTCAAGCAAGAGATGATCTTGGTGGTGAATGCTATCAGAAATGACCTTCAGCATCCCAACGAATACATTCGAGGATCTACACTCCGTTTCTTGCAAAAGATCAAAGAGCCCGAATTGCTGGAAGCCTTGATTCCCTCCGTTCGACAATGTTTGGAACATCGCCATTCGTACGTCCGCAAAAATGCCGTATTGTGTGTTTTGCAAATTTACTCTAGACACGAAGCCATGTTCAGTGACGCACCCGAATTGATGGAAACCTTTTTGGCCTCGGAACAAGATGCAACTTGCAAACGTAATGCATTCATCTTGCTTTGCAACGCGGCCACAGACAAGGCTGTCGAATATTTGATGTCTGTATACGAATCGATCCCGACTATGGATGAGCTCATGCAGCTAGCTGTCATTGAGCTCATTCGTAAGGAATGCAAACCCGACAGCCCAAACAGGACCAAGTACATTCGCGCAATCTCGGAACTCCTCTCTGCAACATCGCATGCTGTCAAGTATGAGGCAGCAATCACTCTCACTTCTCTCACCCAGAATCCCGCTGCAATCAAAGCAACTGCATCGGCTTTGATCGATTTGGTTGTTCGTGAATCGGATAATAACGTCAAATTGATCGTCCTAGCAAGACTGGACGGTCTACGTTCGCGTCACGAGCATGTTATCGACCCGGCCGTCATGGACTTGTTGCGTGTCTTGGGAAGTCCCGATATGGACGTTCGTCGTCGTGCTTTGGGTATTGCATTGGAAATGGTCTCATCACGCAATATCGAAGAAGTTGTGCTATTCTTGAAGAAAGAATTGATGAAGACAGTAGATGCTGCTGGCGGTTACGACAAAAACATTGAGTATAGACAATTGCTCATTCAATCCATTCACACTTGTGCCATCAAATTCAGCGAAGTTGCATCGAATGTTGTGCACGTTTTGATGGAATTCTTGGGAGACTCTTCCAACCCAAGTGCAGTGGACGTGATCAGCTTTGTTCGTGAAGTTGTAGAAAAGTTCCCCGACCTACGTTCGAGTATTGTGGACAAGCTCCTACGGACGTTTGGAGAGATCAAGAGCGGAAAGGTCTTCAGAGGATCACTGTGGATTGTGGGTGAATACTGCGAGACATTGGAAGATGTTAAAGAGGCCATGCAACAAATTCGCCGGGTTATCGGAGAGATTCCAATCCTGGCAGCAGAAGAGAAACTCCTACAGCGTGCAGAGAACGGCGGAGAAGAAGAGGAAGAACGTCGTCTCAAGGATGAGATTGCAGCAACAGGAAAGCCTGCCAATCGCGTCAGAGCCGATGGAACTTATGCCACAGAAACTGCATTCTCATCAGAAGCCAGTGCAACTGCGAGATTAGACGCTGTCAAGAATGCTTCCAAGCCACCCCTTCGTTCATTGATTCTTTTGGGCGACTTCTACACAGCAACCGTGCTTGCTTCAACCCTCACAAAGCTTGTTCTGCGTTACTTTGAGTTGAGCTCTGATGCACAAAGCAAGAATGCTCTGCGTGCCGAAGCAATGCTTATCATGACCAGTGTTGTTCGTGCTGGACAATCCAAATTCGCACAAGCACCGATCGATGAAGACAGTATTGAACGTATTATGACTTGCGTTCAAACACTAGCAACTATCAAGGAAGATAAGGATGAAGAGGCAGTTGATGTATTCTTGAAAGATACCAAACAAGCATACTCCAAGATCATACAGGCAGAAGAACGGAAGAATGCAGAAAAGGCAGCAAGAGATGTTGCGATCAAGGTGCAACCTGATGACGTCGTACCTTTCCGTCAGCTATCAAAGAAATCGGCCACTGCAACATTGGTTGAAAACAATGCTGAAGACTATGAGTCAGAATTGAACAAGGCTACTGGCTCTTCCAAAACCCACAAAGATGATTTCATTAGCAAGCTTCAACGCGTGGTCCAGCTTACAGGGTTTTCCGATCCGGTTTATGCGGAAGCATACGTCAACGTTCATCAATTTGATATCTTGTTGGATGTTTTGGTTGTTAACCAAACTGCTGAAACGCTGCAAAATCTCACAATCGAATTCGCAACATTGGGAGATCTCAAACTTGTCGAGAGACCTGCAAATTACACCTTGGCAGCATATTCTTACCAATCGATCAAGGCTACCATCAAGGTTTCATCGACGGAAACTGGTGTGATCTTTGGTAACATCACCTATGAAGGTGCTGCAGGAACAGGAACGGCATCTAGCGGAGACTCCAAGTGTGTGGTGCTAAACGATATTCACATTGATATTATGGACTATATTCACCCAGCCACATGTACTGAGGGTCAATTTAGGAGTATGTGGACCGAATTCGAGTGGGAGAACAAAGTTAGCGTCAATACGAACATCAAGGGACTACGGACATACCTGGATCACATTCTTAAATCGACAAATATGGCATGTTTGACGCCCGATGCAAGCTTAGCAGGCGAATGTGGTTTCTTGTCTGCTAATTTGTATGCAAGATCACTGTTTGGTGAAGATGCTTTGGCCAATTTGTCCATAGAAGAATTACCCGATCAAACTATTCAAGGTCATGTGCGTATCCGTAGTAAAACACAAGGTATTGCACTTAGCTTGGGTGACAAGATCACACTTGCGCAAAAAGTTATCAAGGAGTAGAAAAAATAAAAGTTTAAGTCATGTATACAACAATCCTTTTACGTCTTTTTTATTATATTCATAATATGAACAACTTTTGCATTGATTTGTTGTACATTGTGTGCGTGTGAGTAGTACTGTACAGTTTTGTTTTGAGATATCACTCCTCTTTGCTACCTTCTTTTTCTGACTTTTCCCCTGCAACGTATCCTTTTGCAATACCCGATCTTCCAATCTCCAACGGAGCAGGCTCATCAACGCCAAGTCTTTGTTCTAATCCACGCCATGATCTTGTGGCCAGATGGGCTGCACCGGCACTTTCCATAACTTTTGTCAGTGTACCATCAGCGTTACGAACGGTAACAATGCCTTCATTTGCATCGTTTGCATGACTGTTTGAAGTGATCAAAGCTTTTTCACCGCCGTTTTCTAGACTGTCAACCTTATTTCTCGGATCGTATGCACGTCTTTTCGAAATTAGTCCACCTGTCATGAGTGAAAAGTGAGGTTCATCATCCTCATCATCTGATTCATTGCCAGCTTTACCCTTTTTCTCCTTTTCGGCCGTATCAAACGCTTGTGCTTGTCCATAAACCTGTTCCAAATCCAGGATATATTCACCCGTCCATTCCCTTCCTTTGAAAGCCGTCAAAACTTCAAAAGGCGTAACGATCGGTTTATAAAAATCTCTACTATCATGTGCTCCTTGTAAACCAGCAGCAGAATCAACTAAACTATTTTCCGGACAAGCAACTAAAACGAAAACGTCAATTTCTTGAAAATTTGCCAACTTTGCTGGATTTAACTTTCCTACCGAAATTGTATAAACTCGCTTTCCTTGTACTTCTGTCAAATGTGTACGAAGATGTTGTAAGAGCGGTAGGTAGGATCGTAAGCCTAATGTTCCGACTAGTAAGCCAACCGTTTGTGCATCCCTGGCTTTTTGAACGGCAACATACCGTCTTTGCAAGAGTCTGTTCGTTCTTCCGCTCTCGTTTTGAGTCGTCTGCTTTTCTGCATCATATCGGATAACGGTTGCTGTAGGGCCTAGTCGTAGCAGCAAATTCGTCAATGCCAAAGATTCAGGGCCGATGTAAAGGTGAATGACTTCCTTTTCCGAGTCGACGTTTAGCTCGTCCGGGATCTTGTTCTTGCTTGTGCTAGCAAACGAGCTTCCTTGTGTTTGAGGCTGTTCGCTGGAAGTGGGCTGTGAGAGATAACGGTCAAAGTTGACGCTTTTGTCCATTTCTGAGAGTAAGATCTTGCAATTGAGCTTCTCTTCCAACAGCTTGCGAATCTCCGTGCTTGCGTGTTCATATCCTACATCATACATCATCACCAATTTCTTCTGCTTCCACCCGTCCTGCTCCTCCAGTCTGGTGGCTATCTGTTCCACACATTGATTCGCATCGATAGGTAGCCGATGGAAGACATAAATAGCAGGCAAACGTGAAGTGAGACTTAAGCAAGCATGTCCGAAATGAACTACCAAGTCTGCATCAATATGTTCTGCAGCCACTTCATCGACGCAACAATTTCCATAGGATGTATCTGCAAGGACGTACAGTTCCGGTAAGTCTCTCAATCCTTTCGAGCGCTTGAGAGTATCTTCCAATGACCAAAATACCTTACTTGCATCACTCAGAAGTTCATCGGGAAATTGCAATGCTATCCTCTGGAAGTTGTGCTGTAGAATGAGTTGGGCGACATGTTTGATATCATAAAGCTGTTCCACATTTATTCCTTGTGCTCTTGATGTTGATGATAGCGTTAGCTCGGATAGAGGTACGACAGTATTTATGATAGCCTCATCAGGAGATGAGAATGGCATAGCCATCTTTGGAGGTGTGGTAGAGAAGGAAGATACATGCTCACACTCCACACTGTACAATCAATCTTCTTCTTGATTTTTAAATCGGAAAAAATTCCGATCCCACGAGCCGCCTTTTGTTTTTAAGGTTGCATTTCCGCATTCTTTCTCTCTCTCTTAGCGCACTTTTTGGCACGGGTGCGCTCGCGAAGAAAGGGAAAAAAAATAAAAATCATAATGGGAATAAAATTTAATTTTAATCAAAGAGAGTCATTTAACCACCATCAAATCATTCCAAAGATGTCGACAACGGGACAGACAGATGCGGGACCGTCCGCTTCTGGACCGACACCGGCACCAGCAACAAAGGTAAAAGCACCGCCAAGACCTGTACCGCCAATGTTGAAACCGTTACAGTTTATGGGCATTCCACGAGGGGTGTTAACATGGCAACCAAGATTACCGTCAAGGAATTGGAGTATCTTTTTAGGTTTGACAATCTCACTTTCATCGCTATACATATACGATCGTAGAGAATGCAAGCGAATCAAACAGGAATATATTGATCAACTCAGCCATCTTGCCAAAGAGCCACTCAAGCCAAACGAATATCCAAGAAAGGTAGCTGTGTATACGGCCAGAAGTCCAGGAGATGAAGATTATGAAAAGAGTTTATTGTTCTTTAAACTGTATGTGAAACCATTTTTGGTAGCTGCTGGTATTGACTGGAGTACGACAAATGGAACGAGACATGGTGGACTTGCAAGGGAATTACGTGAACGCCATTATGCTCGTAGACGTCAACTAGCAGGCTTGGAACCTTGGGGTACACCTCCTTCTACCGCAACTGAAACAATGCCTGATCCCACAATTGCAGGATTGACACAATTCAGTCTCACTCCTCAACAACAACTACAGCAAGAATTAGATGGTGGGGTGATTTTGGTGGGAAGGCCAGCATACAAGGAATGGGCATGGGGACTACGCGAAGGATGGACGACAAGACTGCCGCCAAAGAGGCAAGATTTGGACGATGAACTAGCACGCATCTTGAGTGATGACGGAGCTTTCGATGAAGTTGAAGAACAAAAGGAAGTTTTGATGGACGATGAATCTGAAAAGGTTAACGTCGGTTTGACTTCAGATGATGGTGTTGAGCCAGATGGTGCTGGTGCTCCTCTACCGAGCAGATTGAATTCGCCTGGCAGAGGACCGATGTCGTTCAATCCTGCATTCCAGCCAATCAACTCATCGACTTCATCTGCTCGTCAGCCTAAATCAAACGATGAAGAAGAGATAAACGTCAACCCAGCACTACTAGAACCTCCAAGTGAAGTTCCCGCTCAACCTCCGATCACATTCGTCGATTATGTCAATCTGACAGGATTCCGACATGTCCCACGTAAGATCGTTGGCTTTTTCAATCATAGAGATCGCTTCCTGTTAGGTGGACAGGCCGCGATGAACTTAGCACTTGGTGATAAAACCGATGCACGCGAATACGAAGTTGTGCTGAACGAAGAAGGACAATTGGCACGATCAGAACCACCACAAGGAGGTGATTTAGATTGGGGACTAGAATCCGAAAGATTCTATTTACCCAAATTTAATCAAACACCACAAGACGTTGAAAAAGCAAAAGAAAATTTTTATAAAGAACTTAAACGTAGATTGCAAGATACACGTTCTTATGTTCGTGGTCAACGTGAACTTACAGCAACCGAAAAGAATGATCCGCCAAAAAGTGAATCGGATTTACGTGAAGAAAGATTCCGTAGAGAAAAAGAATGGAGACTCCTTATGCAGGGATATGAAATCTTACGGCCAAGTGCTGGCGTCATTTGGCATCCTGCTTTCAGGACCCGTCTGCGTGTCTATCAACATCAGGACAAAAGACCACCTGTAAGGGAAGAAGAAGAAAAGGCAGAGTTGTGAGGAAACAAAGGTTGCTGCTGCAGCGTTAAATGTACTTTATCGATCACACGATTTAATCATCATTCATGCAATTGAAAGCAATGTGGAATTGAATCTAGAAAAAAGGTATGTCAGTGGCGGAAGTAGATCGTAAATGCGGAATACGGTATCATACCTCGAAGCAAAAGTGTGATAGTCAAAAAATTGAAGCCAATGCATTGTGCCCCGTATGCAAAGCCGTAAGATACGTTATTGTTTGAATCGGAGAATGTACGGTCCGATATAATGCGAGAGGTGGCGAAGCCTAAACACTGCCATTGCATTTGTGATCACATTCTGTACGCATCGAACTGCCGATTGAATGTCGGCCTTTTCTGGCTGTGAGAGAAGACAAAGACCCTTCAATATATATGTCATCCTTTTTTCCTTTATCATACACAACGTTCGACCGACATTATAAAAGAGCAAGCTGAAGGCGAATAAGATCTTCTTTTATATCGTCATTTATAGTTCACGGGGCGATACTTTCGGTTTAAAGTTGGGCGTTTCATCTGACCAACTCGGCGCCCTTCGGCCATGGTATATAATGCATATTGACAGTTTTGACGGAACCAAGATGCTAATGGCGAATAACATCTTCTTTTATTCTGTCTTGACGATTCAATCTATACTTTGTTTATCATATAGTTCACGAGGCGATACTTTCTGTTTAAACTTTAGGCGTTTCACCTCACCAACTCGGCGCCCTTTCGGTCATGTTACACAATGCATGTTGACAACCCGTCAAAACTGACGCTGTCTGATATGAAGCAGTGATTTTGTGTCAAGAGTAAAGCAGCAAATAAACGTAGTGCTCATTCATTCCTGCTCGATATGATCGTGTAAATAAAAAGTATAAAAGAAGACGATCATACTACTTACCTTTTCCCCCTTCCTTTATAACATATATTCAAACCATTTAGAACCCTAGAATCATAAAGAGGCTTTCATTCAATGTCGTTCCTGTGATCATGATGGTATGTCAATCCAACATATTCGAATTGAAAGCATTACTGACTGATTCACTCTGATAATAGACCTTACTCTTAATGGTCCAAATGTCCTTGCAAGCACCTGTGCCAACGACAGGTAGTCCTAGTGTAAATGGCTCTCATTCACCTCAAGCTTCTATGAAAAGCGCTATTGGTCAGCCAAGTATTGTTGTACATAACCATGGTGGAAGTGTTCCTGGTCCAAATGCTCATACAAGTGATTTACCTGTTTGCCCTGACTGCAATACAAATCCTTGTAAATGTCGAAGAAAGAACTTGTAGATGCGTACATATCGGTTAAACCCGTCCAAAGTGCGAAGGTCCATTCTTATTGTCATACGTGATCGACATACATCTAAAGCAATTGCTTTCTATTCAAATCTTACTCAATCATCCTACAATAACCTGCAGGCAGGTTATTTCTATAGAGCCTTTGTAATCTTTATTTAATCTGATCATACGAAAACATTTGCATTACAATATTTATTTTGAAACCTGATCTCATTTGAGAAAAAAGTTGCTGCAGCGTTAAATGTACATTATCGATCACACAATTTAATCATCATTCATGCAACTAAAAAAGAGTTTGAATTAAATTTAGAAAAAAAAAGCTATGCCAGCGGGCCCAACAGTCACTTCTTACTCCGCCGTCATTTTTCTCTCCTCATTCCACCGTCATCATCATCTCCTTACTCCTCAATCGTCATCCTCTTCTCGCTCCACCCTCTTCTCACTCCGCAATCATCGCCCTCTAGATGTACCGAGGAGGGTGTTTGGAATGTTGCGAAAGGAAAAGTTTTCGCTCATCTTGCTCTCGTCACGTCAACGAGTCGGACAGGATGAACGCTTCTTGGATAAAGTGTATTTGATCTGTCATCCAAAGAGGTATGCGATCAAGACCGATGCTTCTTCGACTGCCAGTGATCGCTTGCAAGAGCTCCGTGAATGTGAGTGCAGAATCATCCTCGAATGAAGAAAATTTCGCCCGACTTGACCCACCTCACTTCAGCCCAACACATGATGACGAATTTCTTCGGCAAAGTTGAACGAATGTCACTGGGAGAAGCAGTAAAAAAGTGTGAAGTGGGAGCATGGAGAAAGAGGGCAGAGGAAAGACAAATGTTGATGTCAAATGTACTGTACCATTTCTTCTCTTGTCCCACTTGTCCGAATGCCATGTCATGATTGGATCCTGAGTGACGTACGAGATGACTTTTCATGAACTTTGAAAGGTTTCGTCCGATCGGAAGAGTAAAATCTTGGCTGATTTGGGCCCCGTTCAGGCGTTTGTACCTGTGAGCTCTTTTCATGAAGTGATGCGGGTTGTGTTTGTGTTGATTACCGCGATCAATGTTGTATGACGACTTGAAAAGAGAAGTGTGTGATGCTGATTGTACGATTGGTGGATTTCGAACAAGAAGAGAATGATGCTGCTTGAATGAGCTGTGATCTATGAATCAGGATTGGATGATGCCGGTTGAGTGAGGACGCATATGAGACGGCGTTCGTTGAATTTTTCAAAGTCTTTCCCGGAGCGTCAAAGAAGATCTTGGTTGGCTAGGATGTATGCTGGCGTTTGCACTTGTGAGCCTTTTCTTGCGAAGTGATGCCATGCTTGTTTGTATTTGAGTGCTACAATCATTGTTTTGTGATGCTGACTGGATGGCAATTGGATCTTGAATGACAAGAGGGCCTTTGGATTTGGAATGAGAAGTGGGTCTTGAATGACAAGTGAATGATGATTGGAATGAGATGTGGGTGTTGGGGGTTGGAGTCAGGCCAAAAAGGCGGACTTTATATACCTTTCTTTCATTCGTTTCACAGTTTCAAGAATTCGTAGGGTTTTCCCTATATTGCGAGATGATCTTTCATGAATCTCGAAAGGTTTCATCTGGTCGGCTTTTGAATGCGGATGAGAAGAGGCCACCAACAGTCTCTTCTTACTCCGCCGTCATCATCTTCTCCTCATTCTACCGTCATCATCCTCTTCCTATTTTACAGTCATCACCCTCTTCTCCCTTTAGGTGTTTATGTTTAGAGGAGGGTCTCTGGAAAGTTGCGAAACGAGAAGTTCTGGCTCATCTTACTCTCGTTACGCCAGCAAGTCGGACAGGATAGACGCTTCTTTGATAAAGTGTATTTGATCCGTCATCCGAAGAGGTCTGCGCTCAAGACCGATGCTTCTTCGACTGCCAGTGATCGCTTGTAAGAGTCCCGTAAATGCGAGGGCAGAGCCAT